CTGTAAAATAACCGTTGTAAGAATAACAACAACACAACAACAGCAAAAAACCAACTCTACTTCGGCGAAATGTCATAACGTGAAATTTATTTAGACGACGTGCGGGTCATAAAATTTAAAACGCGCTGATTATCGCGATGCAGACGGCGCCTAACACATGTTGTTTTGTTTTGGGCCGTTTTGACGTTGATACTCTGGCGTGCGCGAAACCGCTGCCAAAATTAACAATCATGCAAATACCTATGTACAAAAACAGTAGTTTCAAAAGTGGTTGCGTCACATATAGTCATGAAATTGACTCACAATATGATTGTCAGTGTTATTGCGATTGTGATGCATTTCGGGAAAATAACTACACTTTACCTGATGAATAAACTGCTCGTCGATTAGCTGTGACTAATTCAGCTGGCGCGACTTTAAAAATTTAATGCGACACCGACGTTATCTATATCTAGAGAATTTATTACTACAAAATTCCCGAGTATTAGGTACTTACTCAAAAATGACTGTGATTCGTATCCAGAATAAATATCTAAATTGAGCATGCGGAGTCAGAACCTCCCGGTTTTCAATTATTACTTACCTAAATTAGAAATTTCGCGTTCAACACTCGACATTATCATGAATGTTGAATGAAATGCACGAAGCGAAACACATAAAAAATGAATAACAAGATGCAAAAACGTAAAATCACGAATTTTGACTTAAGTTAAACAAATCGACAATCTGCAAACGTAGTTTCCAATGTCAGCACCTACATTGAAGAAATGTAGAAGCGCACAGATGCGTTTATTCTGTTTATAGTTTTACCATTATTAATGAAGTGTTGAAGACCATTCACCATACGTATGAATGTTTCACCTTTAAAAACCGCAACTTGAATGCCTCGATACATAAATAACTACTTTTATGCACGGAAATAGCAATGCTGAGTGTACGCGTCCACTTTTATCGAATAAAAGTAGAAAAGTAGGAAGCCAGACGGCGGACGAGACTATGCGGTGGCAATGTTATAATGGCGAAGAGCAAAGAGAAAATGTGGGTTAGACGCGTTAATTAAGCGAATCATTATTTTACGCAACCGCCAGCGGAGCGTACGTTGCACCGAGTTACACATTAAGTAAAAATACATCCAGTACATTTTTTAAATTTAATTTTTTTGCTGCCATCTATTGCGTGTGACATTTAAAACTAAGTTAAGTAGACTTGAAAATGAAATTCGAGTGCACGATGTGTCACAAGAACTATTTCCTGTTTGCCAGACGACCGCTTCGAGCACTTTTCTACTGTCTGCTGTCACATTCGGCGGTTAAGTAACTGCACTATTACTCACACTATTACCATGCGCAGCACGAACGTGATCGATCGGAATACATTTACAACTTCTACTCCAGAACTGAACTGTCAAAAGTTTCACAAGCGTAAAATCTAGCAAAACTCTAAACTAGATCAGAACACAATTTCCAAGAATACTACTTTTGCGAGCTGTAAATGTGCAAGACGCAAAATTAGTAATTAGTTCACGCATTAATAAATTACGGTGCGTAAAGTGTGTCAGCCGACGAGAGACGTCTTCATAAGTCATCGCATGCAGAATTATTTTGACTGCGCGTACATGTAATGTGATGATTATTTCCAGATAGCTGTGTGCCAAGAAGAGAAAAAGCAAACCACCGTGATTTACCTACGTTTTCTGCAGTATTTTCGTACTTTACCGCTTGGACATTTATCTCGTCCTGATATTTATCACGCATTCAAATGCACAGCACCAACATAACATTTGTCTGACATTATTCAAGTGAATTTCTATATTTAAACCCGCACAAATTACAAATTACAATAGCTAGCATTATGTGTACAATATACAAACATAATGCACGCATGGATGCACGCACAAAGCAGAGATAAATCATTTTAATCTAAATTTACTAATATTTTCGAATTATTTTAGAACCGGCAGACAATGTCACAACTTGAGATAGACTGCTTGAATATCAAATACTTGTAACACACAACTGCATCTCTGTTAATCGATAATTCAGCATTCGACGCGTTTGTAGCTCAAACCCGAATTGTTATTGAAAGCGTAATTGCGTAGTTGCAGCTGCAATTACTGGACATTTGCGACATGCAATCTTTCTGTCGGGATCTGTAGTTTGTTTTCATGTGTGTACTATACTACGTCGCTTTTCATAGAAATAGAGGCATTGCAGCAATTGTTTTTTTTATTGATCGCGCCGAGAATCAGGGCAATTTAAACTTGACCTAGCCTATATTAAAATTATAGGGATAGCTAACAACCACGAGCACAATCTGAGTGAACCAACACGTTGCGTTTCATAATACAAACTATGGCAATAAGAGAAAACTAAAAATAAACGGCATTACTAAATTATAAGGACGATTGAAAGATATTGTCGGGCACTCACGTAGCGTGAGAATAATACCAATAGACTTTTGTTGATAACTGGAAAACTAATAAAAATAAATTGAAAATTTCGACGGATTTATATTATGAATTAAATTCTGAATATAACCACGTTTAAATTTTATTGATAACAAAGCAATATTAATAGTTACTGGTATTTTTTTGTGAGTAATAGGAATTTGTACAAAATACTACTTTAATTGTTTATAACTTTTGATACAACAATCAGATAAAGCAAATTTTTGCAGTGGCAAATGTAGAATTTAATTCTCAATCTATTTGTAAATGAATAATTACGATATCGCAAATATTTTTCGACAGAATCATTAGATTATCAAATAATCACGGCCAAGGAGCAGACAAAAATTGCAGTTTGATAAAATGACTAATTAATCACTCAAAAATCAATCAACTTATGATAATAATCCATTCAAAAATTAGATTTATATAAATTTGAGAAATAACCACATTAAAATCTGATTGATAACAGCTTTTGATCAGAAATTACACACAATTTTTAAAAATTTTCCAAAACAAAACTTTAAATCTTGATAAACTCAGCGATAAGAAACAAAATAACAAAATTTGTGAGTAATTTAATAAATAATTTATGTAAGAATACACCTAAGTATAGAATAATCAATAATATAGCGCAAATTACTCTCAATAATTAATGAATTAATAAAAAAACACACACACACCTTCACGACGCTCTACCAACAAACAAATAGTTAACAATTGACCCTAATCTCCCTAAAATATTAAAAATGTAAAAAAATGCTTAATCACTCCAGACTTTATTTACCTATGTCTATTTGCATGATGTAATCTAGTCAAATTTTACGTTCGCATGTTACACAAGCCCGCCGACTGTTTGTTTTCATGGCCAAAATGCAAATGTAATTCGCTAATTTTCCACCCCGCTCTTGAAAACGAAGCTTGTTGCTTAGACTTTCAGATTGGCGATTACTCGTGCACCACGCTCGCTCGCACGCCGATTTAATGTGCATGTTGTGTCGCGTTTTCGTGCGCGACTATGGAGGAGGCCCCGTGTACGCCGCGGGAAAATCAATAGCACTTTTCTTACCCGCAATGGCAATGGCGAGCGCGACCGAAACGGGAAAAAAATCGCCACGTTCCGGTCGTGTTCCGGAGCGATCACGTAACTACCACCGGAGGAGGCTTTGCCAAGAATGCCAAGTCATACCTACTTTTTTATATACTCGAAACTCTTCTATGGAACATAGCAATTTTCCATTTATCCACGTCATGCGGAAAACTTTTCAACTTTTCGGAAGAATATAGGAAAAGTTCCCAAACACGTTTTTTTTCTCTCTCGTGTAAACCGACGAAAATTTGTGTGTCAAAACAAGAGAAATAAGAAGTCAATAAAAATACACATCAACAAGATATAAACGTCACTTTAATAGGTCTTTATGTTGATAGTAGTTATTTATGTACCAAGATGTCACGTTTTTTAAACAAAAGCTTTAAAAAAGAAGCAAATTTATTGAGATATTGATGAAATTGACCATTAAAATAGTTTAATCAACTTTGCTGTCAATTTTAACATGCTTATAATGTGAAATTATTGTTCACACTCAGTATAATAGTAGAAGATAACCTCAAGTAGCATTTACCGGCTCGGAAACGACATTCCGACGGCTGCACGGAGATAAACTCGTAAAACGTCGTATAAAGCACGTAATTATGCTCGCGTCGCCGAGGATTTATAAATAAAAGTCGTCCAAGTTGTCCGGCTAGTAGCAAAGCAACCAACCGACATCAAGAATAATGAACCCGAATGAGAAAAAAAAAACAGAGTCCACACATGTAAGAAAATAAAAGCAAAACAAAAACGAGTTCGACAAAAAGTGAAAAGTTAGTGAAAACTCGCCATCGAATTGAGAGAATAAGACTAAAAAAATCCACACAACAACGCGAAATTGTGAAACTGCACCGAAACCGGTCCGTCCGGCCGCGCTCCTTGCCGCTGCACTCTTCTAAGGTCATAGTTCTTGCATTCTTGAGCGCCGTCGATACTAAAAACCGATCTAAAAATAACATCCGCGCGAGGAATGAAGGAATGTTAAGATGAGCGTGAATGCACATTACGCACATGCACACACAAAACAAAAGTGTATCGTGTTATCGGGACACTTTGTATATAAAGTCAGCACGAATGAATAAAGTGCACATTGAATGTGCATTGATCGATTTCGAGCGACCGGATGCGCCGCTGTGAGTGACTGTTTATTTGTTCATTTGTTTAGGTTTAGATATGTGATTGGCTGGATCCGGCCATGTGCGGTGGCAAATGCCCGATCGCGTCCCTAACTCGCCTAACATTGAACGTGGCCGGCGGCGCATCGATCCCGTGACGTCAGGTCAGGTGTGCGGAGCGTGCGCTCTCGCAAAATGTCGGCCCGCGCAGCTCACGCGAATTTCTAGGTTAGAAAGACAGCCACAGTCTTCCGACAGAGACCCGCAGTCAGCCAATCAACATCAATCAACTTTTGAGGTTAGGTTTTGAATGGAAAACTTTGTAAATGTAGGTATATGGATGACTTACCTCTTCACGTCGTTTCAACCACCGTCCACATGGACTCTCTTCGAGAATTTCGCTTTCATCCTCAGAGTCCTCGCCGCTCTCGCGTGGAGACTTGTGCTCCTGCTCGGCGGCGCTCATCAAGCTGCCCGACATGACTTGGGGTTCGAAGGCTTGGTTATAACTCCTGCTGTAGCTGTTCACAATATTGTTGTGCGCTGCTGCGAGTCGCGATTGTTTCCATTTACATCCGAGACTCGTGCACAACTTGCGGCGACACACTGTATGCACTGTTACAGGCGCGTTGCGGGCTCATCCTCGCCGCGCACCAAATCAACAAACGAAAAAACAAGCGCCGATCGCGAGCGTTCAACTATCGACGTCGAACGCAATTGGGATTCCAATAGACACCACTCTGGGTTAACGCGCGCACCACTCACACAGAAGACCCGCGGGGCCGGTTGCGGATTCTTGGCGACGCGTGCAACGGACGCGAAACAAGTGCGAAGCGCAACGCGTGCGATCGCGGAATGCACACGGCGCGGATTGTCTGTTCTTCCTCCGGGGGTGGATTATGCACGGCACGGCCGCACGCGAGTTGCGGATGATGTAAATATCGCACGGGCAGACATGCACTGATCGGACAGGAACGGCGGACAGTTGTTAACTGCGCGCATGGAGTGCGCATGCGCACTGCACTGTGTGCTCGCGCACAACCAAACGTATCAAACAAACGACTGCCTCCCAGGCGGCGCCACTAATCAAACAAATCAAATTCTTCGTAACCTTCGAGATATTCAAAATCTTCGAACTAAAATTACAACTGTAATCCGTATTACTACTCCAAATAATAGTTTAAAATATTATGTTGACCTTGTATAAACACTTTACCATAACTTAGTGCCATTTTCATGGATCATTAATCTAAAATGAAGTTTTAATGAGATTCATGCAAATAGAAAACTGTTTTCGTTGAATTAATTACCTCTAATAATGTTAATCATTTCTGTACATATTTGCCTCTTGTGTTATCTTATCTTTAATTCAAAAGCTTCTGATTCGATGTTGATGGCACATCAGCGACATCCGTCACATATTCACAGGTTAATTATGTGACGCGACGAATTTGAACGTTATCAACTGGCTGACGTTGCTGAGTATAATAATCGTCGTTAATTTTGAATCAAAATAAAACCGTATAAGCAAATATTTTGCTAGGAATTGTATATAAGGCGACATCTAGTGGCGACTTTTCCAACTATACAACTTCTTCAAAAGATAGGCAATTTATAATACTGGCAACGGTTTTGTTTTATTATCAAAATAATTTTTTAAAATCACTTTAAAAGGGAATAAAACTATTACTAACTATATTTAGGAATGGACATGAGGACAATAGCATGTTCCCAAAAGTCCTGCTCATTTTTCACATCTTTTGTCCACGTATCCGTCTCAAAATCATAACATTCCACCTCAGTGTGCTTGTTGAAAACATTCCACCTATGAAAACCACCAATCATATACAATTTTGATCCATGTAGCACCACATCCTCATGATATCTTGGTCTTGGCACCGTCGTAACATGCCGCCAAGTATTTGTCTGCATATTATAAACATCAATCGTCGGCACTTGTGTGCGCAACCATCTGCTCCAAATCGAAACCCCCGGTTCAGTATACCATCCACCACAAACATAAATCTCATTTTTATACGTAAACATAACATGATCAGTCCTTGGCGCTAGCAATGGCGCACAACTCGTCCACGTGCCGGTCTTTTCATTATACATAAACATGGACGCTATCACAGTATCATTCAACAATCCCCCGGAAACAAACAATAAATTATTACCCTCATATTCTAGCGCTACTGCAGCATGTTGCTGGCGACATTCGGGTAGCGATTCGATAAACTTCCATTTATCGCGCTTCACATCATAACATTCAGCCGTTCTGGTCACGGAATCGTCTAAAGTCGCACCACCTACAGCGTACAGTTTATCATTCATCGCAGTGAGAGTAAACCGACATCTATCAACGTTGATGGTTGCAATACGTTCCCAAGTGTTTGACCATGGATCATAGCGGTAACTACTCGGATGGACTACTTCAAGCATCAGTTGATTGAAACATCCGCCGACAATATACAACCGATTGTGTAGAACTGTAGTACCATAGTTACACTGTGCCACGCTGGGAATTGTCGTCAAAGGACGCCAGTGTCGCTCGTCAATAAAAGAACAACTAACACCATTGGTTAATCCACGGGCGGTGAATCCTCCAACTCGGATAATGGCAGGTTTCATTCCACGATTAGAACGTGAATCTTCGGATAAAATTGGGGTTGATGTTAGTTTTTGAGCTGATTTATACATTGCGAAGAGTGTATCTTTCAGAGTTTCATTATTTGTGCTTGGGTTGGGAAATATTCAAGTAGTAAACTTTCGAATGATTTATAAGATATCTCTTCAAAGTGGATGTGTTGTAGAATTGATTTTGCAGAGATTTCTTTTTGTTTAATCCTAAAAAATAAATAAAAATATTTTTTTAACTTTTAACTTCATCATATTAATATAACTTACTCATTTTTTGTTCCTGTGAGAAACCAGCCCAAAACAACCCTTAAAACATCAACCTCCCTGCCTGCAATAGGCACATCTTGGCTAACAGCAAACTGAATCAGCTCCACATTCAAATTTTGCACAACATCTTCTCTGCATATGAATTGTCTGCTAACCAAATCGAACACTTTTGTTCGTAATGATTCCAAGTGATATTTATAGGCAATATCCATGACTTCGAATATATTATCCATGTTGATTGTTGATTCCAGATACTCTACACATTTTCGTAATACTGGCTCTACTTGTAGGTAGTTGGCAGTGGCGATAACATCAATGATATTGTCTTCGTTGATAGCAATACATCCAGTGTACATATAATGGAGTAAAAGATCGAATCCTTGTGAGCGTACACCAGAGATTTTCACAACTGGTGATGCGGATTCGAGCATGTCCGAGTGGAACATGGCGTGGAAATATTGTGAGTGGCAGGCGAGGATTGTGCGATGGGCATTGTATTCGTCACCGTTGATTATCAGCGTGACGTCGGTGAATGTGCCGTCTTTTTGGAACCTAAGAAGACTGTCAAGGAGTGTTTTATGGTGTTGTTCTAGGAGATCCATTTTTATTGCAAACTGCAAAGCAAAAATTAATTATTTATTAAAATTAAACGTTTAGGAATGTTTCTTATACAGTTTTCTATGTTTATTGATATTGTTGGAATATGCGTCGTTATAACACCGGCAAAATAACAAAATTTAATCAGGGCTATCCAATAAAAGTCTTAATGTGTGGTATACAATAGGAGTATTGTACGCATGAGTCAAAGGTTTGGCTTTTAAGTTTTTGCAACGTTTTAAGTTAGTTAGTTCGATTGAGAACTTGTAAGAGAGCGGTATTCTTTTCGGTGCAGCCAATTAAATAAAATATTAAAAGCGAAAATCTTTCTAATTATTTAAAAACCAATCCATAACTTCTAATAGATATGTATCTACTGTGTTTCATTAATATTAACCAAAAATAGCTAGTTTTCTACCAGAATTGGTTTAATTCAATTTATTTTATGTACATTTTTATGTTTCAAGATCTTTTTAATGTTGATTTGTTTATTTAAGAATTAAACATTATTTTTCCGTGCTATTTCACTAAATTGAATAAGTGATTCCCAAAAAAAAATGTTTTGTATGAGAATTAGTTCAATTCAAATAATGAAATTATAAAATTTAACGCACTTGGGCATGAAAAAATGATTAAAACTCGGCCTCGAAGTAAAAGTTTATTTCCGGTAATCTGTATTTACCTTTCATTTGTCTTCACATGACCTGCACCTCTATGCAACGTAAGTACATAGTTTAATTCTCTTGCCACAGAGCACTATTAATTAATTAAATACTCAGCAGACAACGGTACACAATTAAACGCGAGTAATTAAACAAAAGTGCTGCGTAATTTGTTATTCAATTAAATTTGAATGCAATACTTAACTAATTGCAAGTTAACTTAAGCAAGGCAAGAGATAAGGATAAAGTGCATAAATAGTGAATTAAGATTGCCAATTAGATCAAGTATAGTTACCCGTGTGGGATCGGTGTGAGTTATAATTGATAGAGTGTTAAAAGGCACGATGTTTAATTATCACGAACAATGTTTATTATAATGTTAAGGTTTACCAACTCTTGAAGAAGCGTAGAGTAAGAAGTACTGTAGAAGTGTTGCTTAAGAAGTGTGTGGAATAACTGATCTTCCTACACCCTTGTCACTCACCAGCAACCCTTCAGGTTGATGGGTGGTGACAAGAAATTTGGAAGTCAGAAGAAAGCGATAGATTTGATTGGTAGAAGAAAGTGTGTGACATTGAAGAGAGGGCAAGTTGACCATCGGATTTTGGGAATCCGAGCCGGACCATCTGCTGCTGACCGCACGCTAGATACAGCGTGCCAAACCGTCCGACTCGGTGATTAGGTTTTTCAAGGGTAATAAAAGTAATTAGGAATGTTGGGAATTTTATACGAAGAATTATGGCATGCAATATAGATGAAGACAATTAGCTAAGTAAAGTTAAGTAAACACTTACTGTACGCTATACCCTCACAATATCGCCAAAACGATATTTTTACTAAACCATTGCAAGTCAATGCAAGTATTTGTCAAGCCTGATGTGGATAGCTATTTCGACCATTAGAGGTCTCATCAGCACTATCAATCAAACAAATATAAATAAAATATATCTCCGTGCTTATTGTTGTTAATGTTTGTCCTACTTTAAATATGTGAATATAAATATGCTCTGATTTTAATAATTTAAATATCAAATGATTATTGCTACTCTAAATAAAACTATCTCAATGCGAGCGATATCATTTGAATATACACTGAATGTACAGGTAATGTATGGGTAAACAATCCGATTGTTTGTTATTGTGGTCCGCAGTAAGTGTGGCATGAAGCAGAATGCCAGAAGAAGCGTAGCATCCGAAGAGAAACTTGATTACCTAACCGGCACGAAAAAATCGTGTCGAGACGCGAAGAAAAAGCGTGGAACAATGCAAATTTTATGTGGAATCAAACTCCTTTCGACTCATGCGCACAAATGAACGCCAACCAGCTGAGTTCAGCAAATAAACTAGACTTAAACAGATGCTAACTATCGGAAAATTACCAAGAAAGATGATTCAATTAAAAACTTACAAAATGTTATATTACCTTAATGAGAATTCAGCAAAAAATCGATTTTAACAGCTGCGTTAATATCACACATGGAATTAAATGTCATAACTCAAAATTTGCAAAAAATAAATACCTCAACATAAAACCAGATTAATGTTTCATAACTACATGACACTCCCATGACTCAGTCAGTTATACTTCTGGGTTAGTGTAAGTTAGTATGATTATAATTGTAATATAATTATGTCTTGAGAATGTGAGAACGTTTCACGTTTCAACGTAGAAAATGCCTTAAATGTTGAAAATTAAGCTCTCAATAGCACGAACAACAGTAATACTCACTACATGCACTCGTACATATAAATTTTATTGTTTTCCGAGTAAGAATACGAGTCTCTTCGTATCTATGAGCAGCGTATGAAAAACGGTGAGGTATTTTCACTCGTGTAATCGTGCAATCGCTGATTCGCTGACATTTAAATTCCCTAGCGTTCTTGCGCAACACAACTATGTATATCCTCCACATAAAGCGATGAAACGACGTTAACGTTAAGTAATAAAATTGTAGCATTACTAGCGTTATTACGAATATTACTATAGTTCTATTCTATCGTAGCCGATTACGTTACGTTCACATTCGACAGGCACATGTTTTGTGTGTCGAGTGTTGATGGTGTACTGTTATTGTTTTGTTTCGTTGCCAGTTACCGGGTTATCAC